GGGGAAGCAAGAAAAGGTGATCCGAGGTTCCTGAGGAACTTCGACGTTCCACTATAAACCCTATCAACCCTATGTACACCCTATCTAAACCCTACAAAACGCCATCAACCCTATATAAACCTTGTTATTATATGAACCCTATATATAATCGCATAAACCCTAATCCCTCACACCAACCCCTGAACCCCCCCCCCCCCCTCTCCAAAAAAAAATGCGACTCTGTCGCCTGCAAGCGCAAAAACCGGTATGGTCCGCAGGCGCTTCGTTTCTTAAGGGCGGTAGAAGGAGGGACCCCTAGAAGCGACTCTTAATCTTGTTCCCCTAAATTAACCCATATATAACCCCTGTATATACCTTGGTAAAGTTCCCGATGCACCTGTGAAGCGTTTAGCCCCATGAGTTTCGAAGCAGAGACATTTAGTTCTTTGGGTTTTAGGGTTTACCTTTAAACCCTAACCCTGGACCCTAAACCCTAATAGGGCTTAGGGTTTTGGGGGGTCCTGTTTCTGCGGCGGCCCCTATAATCCCTAGACCCTAAGCCCTAAACCCTAAACCCTAAACCTCAAAAAGGGACCATATTTAGGAGAACTGCCCAAAAAAAGCAGAACAAACATCCTGAAAACCGGCTTGCTTTTAGGGTTTAGGGTGCAGGGTTTGGGTTTAGGGTTGGGGGTTTAGGGTTTAGGAGGTAGGGTTTGTGGGTTGAGGGTTTAGGGTTTGGGGGTTTTGGGTTTGGGGGTTAGTTTAGGGTTTAGGGTTTAGGGTTTGATTAGGGTTTAGGGTTTGGGCTTTGGGGTTTGGGGTTGAAGGGTTTAGAGTCCTTGCATCCGAAACACCCTGAAACCCGACATCCCTGAGCCCCGACACAAGAACGCCTGAGTTGCCTACATCCCCCGCAAACCGCAGCAAATTCCTAACTCCCAAAGCCCTAAACCCCTAAACCCTAAACTAAACCCCTAACCCCAACAAGCCTTAACCCGAAACCCTACACACCTCGAACCCCGAAACCCCTAAACCCCTAAATCCCTAAACCCTCAACCCCCTAAACCCCTTAAACCCCGCTAGACCCCTTAAACTCCCTAAGTCCCCTACACCCTATAACCCTTAAAGCCCTAAACCCAAAAAACCCAAGAACCCTAAAACCCCCCTACCCCCCTACACCCCTAAACCCCTAAACCCCCTCCCCCTGAATCACCTGAACCCCCCCTAAACCCTAAACCCCCAAAACCCAGAAACCCCCCTACCCCCCTACCCCCCTAAACCCCCCAAACCCCTCAACCCTCTGCCCCAAACCCAGAAACCCTATAAACCCCCCAAACCCCTCAACCCTCCGCCCCAAACATCATGAGGCCTTGGACCGCAAGCTCCAGGGTGAGAGTATGGAGGCCTGGGCTTAGGTTTTAGGGTTTAGGGTTTAGGGTTTAGGGCTTAGGGCTTAGGGCTTAGGGCTTAGGGCTTAGGGTTGAGAGCTTTCGAGGTTTTGAGTTTAGGGTTGAGGGCCTTCGGAGTTTAGGGCCTTTCGGGGTTGAACGGCTTAGGGGCTTGAGGATTTTTGGGGGCGTTTAGGGCCATGTTGAGGCCCTTAGGGGTCTAGAGTGTTGGGCTGACTTAGGGGCCTTTACGGGGGGGTGGTGTGTTTGGGGTTTAGGGTTTAGGGTTTAGGGTTGAGGGTTGAGGGTTGAGGGTTGAGGGTTGAGGGTTGAGGGTTGAGGGTTGAGGGTTGAGGGGGTGCTCTGCTCAGACAGGTCTGAGGGTAGCGCGGCTTGCAAGCAAGTCCTGTGGACGGCGCCAACCTCGGTTGGCCCGACGCGGATGCCAGGGAGAGCGAGGCTGTGTCTCACGGAACACGGCCTTCGCTTGTTTCCAAATTTCCCTAAACCCTAAACCCCAAACCCCAAACCCTAAACCCTAAACCCTTTCGTGGGAAACCGGTGCTTTGGGCGGGAGTGGACTGTTTGTTTCGCTTAGTAAGGTGGGTTTAAAGGAGGCTCTCTTCTCCCAAAGCTCCCTCCCTTCAAAAGGAACTTCAGAACAAACCCCCATGGGGATTTGGGGGGGGGTCTATTTTATAGACCTTTATACGGTTTCAGGGTTTAGGGCTTTTTATATAACGTTGGAACCAAGTAGAACCCAAGTTCCCCACTTCTCACACGTAAACCCTAAACCCTAAACCCGAAACCCTAAACCCTAAACCCTAAACCCTAACCCCTAAAACCTAAACCCTAAACCCTAATTAACCCTAAACCCAGTTGGATCCATCCATGAGCCTGCAAGTGATTTGTTTGGAGGCTTTGGGGAGATCTACTCCCCTTCTCAACCCCAGGCTCCACGTTGCTCTCAGAGAAAGGCCGTAGGATTTCAAGCTTTTAGGTTGGTTTTAGGTTGGTTTCAGGGTTAAGGGTTGAGGGTTTAGGGTTTAGGGTTTAGGGCCATATATAGGCCATCGACCACGAACCCTGACGCCTCGAATCCGAAACCCTAAGCCCTCCAACCGATCGACATCTTACAAAGCTCGTCGCAACCCAGAGAGCCCAATACCCCTCAATTAAGGAATATACCTTAAATTGAAAAAGGGGATCGAGGTATCCTAAACCCTAAACCCTAAACTCTAAACCCTAAACCCTAAACCCTAAATATGATTTCAGGTATACTGCTTTGTTTAAGGAGTCTTGGGCTCTTTGGAAACTGCTGCCTTCCGATTCTGGGGAGGCCGAGGAGACGGACACTTCGGCATCGCATCTCGACTCCGTGCGGGTTTGGGTTCAAGGGGCCTTGGTGCCTTAGGGGGTTTAGGGTTTAGGGTTTAGGGTTTAGGGTTTAGGCGGTTAGGCCAACACAGTTCCCTAGATCATGGCGCGTGTTTAGGGGTACAGGACCCTGTGCGTTGTATTCGGAGCGCTCCCAAACAAGGAGCCTGTCTGCATTCTGCTGTTTAGGGTTTAGGGTGTGGGGTGTAGGATGTGGCGTCCCTTAAAACCCTTACGCCGTTCTTCAACCTTAGAAACCCTCGGCTCCAAACATTCGGAGCGGATTCTAGGATGTAGGGCTCATCCGCCGTAGTGGGTTTAGGGTTTAGGGCTGAGGCCGCAGGCAGGGCACCTGGGGGTTATGGGCCTTTCAAGTTGTTTAGGGTTTGGGGTTTGGGGTTTAGGGTTTAGGGTTTGGGGTTTAGGGGTTTAGGGTCTAGGGTTTAGGGTTTAGGCTGTAGGGCTCACCGGATTCCAGCGACGGGTTCTACTACAAACCTAAACCCTAAACCCCAGAAATCCCCACAACACCCTAAGCCCCAAAACCCTAAGCCCCACAATTGCCAAAACAGCCTAAGCCCTAAACCCTAAGCCCCAGAATTCCTCAAACACCCCAAAACCGAAACTCTAAACCCCAGAATTCCTTCCAAACACCCTAAACCCTAAGCCCTAAGCCCTAAACCCTAAACCCCAGAATTCCTTTACAAACATCCCCAGGCGGCCGAGGAGCCTGGTCTTCCTGCGACGGGCAGCGGCCTTGGAATGTGCCTTCGTGCCGAGGCTAAGAGGCCGAGTCTGGGGGACGAAGCCCTAGGGTTTAGGGTTTAGGGTTTAGGGTTTAGGGTTTCGGGTTAGGGTTCAGGGTTTTGGGTTTTTGGGTTTGGGGTTTGGGGTTTTGGGTTTAGGGCTACTCCAAGGCCCAAAACCCTAAACCTCAGTTCATGAGTCTTGTCGGCTGTTATTCGTTTGTTGGGCCGCTCTCCTCCCCAACAGCTGCAAAACACAAAGTCCGTGCCCTGCGCTGCTGTGGACGCATTGCTCAGACTAACTACTACTTGCCGAAGAGACCCAAAAAAATAAAAAAAATCTTCTTCCTTATGGCGATATAGGGGGTGGTTGCTTTTGTTCTTGGGGTTTTAGAATCGTACCCCTCAGGGGGTTTAGGGAGTTTCGTGGGTTTAGGAAGAGGGTTGTTTAGGACATTCAGAGGGTTTATCAAGGGGTTAAGACTCGTACCCCTAAGGTTGTATCCCTTAAGGGTCCCTTAATGTACTCCTACTGTGGCCCGTAGGGGATCTTGAGAAAGGGCTTAGTAGTCTCCAGCGGAGCCCCCTGACCATGAGCTTTCCTTAAGGGCATGGCTTCCCTCTGTTTGAAGGATCAGGTTCCCCATAGAAGCCCCTTTACACCAAAAAGGATACCATTTTTTGCTGGGTCACTCTTGGGTGAATTTCAGGGTTCAAGCAAAAAGCGGAACAAGGGATATTCGGCTCTTTTTCAAAGTTTGAGGATTAGGGTCTAGGGTTTGGCATTCAACAATGTACCCACGGACACAGAACGCCTGCACGCCAAGGTGGAAGAGCTCATGACCCGTGCGATCTCAGGCGGGGCGGTCGGGTGAGCTTCGTTCGGGCCTTCAGGGTTTAGGGTTTAGGACTTAGGACTTAGGGTTTAGGGTTTAGGGTTTAGGGTTTAGGATCTGGGCCTTCTTTGCTTCTGCTGCGCCTTGGCCCGAGTCCGTTACAGGTTGTGGACTTTCATTTAAGGCAGCGCAGGTTCTCATGGTTAATGGGTTTCAGGGGGGGGTTCGGGTGGATTTGGGGGTTTAGGGGTCTAGGCCTTGAAAGGGGTGTTGGGGTTGAGGGCGCATGGGGTTTTAGGGTTTAGGGTTTTGGCGGTTGGTGTCTCTGGTGCTGTAGATGGGCATTTCTGGCTCTCAGCTTGTCCCCTGCGACCTCTGCACCCTAGAAATTAAGGGGTGTAAGGGGAACCCTACAAGCCTGCAAACCCCCCATATATACCTTATATAGTCCCTACATACCGAAGAAAAACCGCTAAGGTCCTGTATAAGGGTCCCTCCTTTAGTCCCTTGAGAAACATCTGGCGGGCCTACCGTTACCCTAAGTTCAAGTTCAAGTTCAAATCTGAGGGATCCTGGGGCGGATCAAATTGGTGCCTCGTGAGTGCCACTACCCCGCAGGGTCTCAGGGCCTGCACGATGGCACGAACACAACGCAGTGGCCAGTCGGTCTTTTAGTCCTGTTTGGCGGTCATGATGCAGTCCAAGGTTTCAATGCGCCTCCTAAGACGCGGTGCGTCCTCGGGCAATGAGAAAAGACCTGGACGCTGCAACCCCGCCGAGGCAGTCACCCTCTCCACCACTTCGCATTGCGACTCCAGGTGGTCGCAGAGGTCTGTCACTCGGCTCTCGCAGAGCCAGCAGCGCTGGTCCGAGTCCGGTCGTGTGTCTCCTCTATGCCACCCCCCTAGGAAAATCCTACCGGTCAAGAGTGCCAGGAACCAAGCTTTGCAGGCCCTAGCCAGTCTGGGCGTCCAAAGCGTGCCCCTTGTGAGGCTCAGGGCTTGTCGCAGCTCGGCGGGAGGGTTCCTAGGCCACTTGCTGCGAGCCTCCTGTTGCCAAAGGCGCTCTTTTGCACTGATTGCTGGTATAACACAGGCACGTTTCCAATTTTGGATGAACAGTTTGACATCTGCCTTTGCAAAAACTGTGCTTGGAAGCGTCTCCCAAGACGGTATCGTCTCGACACCGAAAGATCTTGCCACTCCGCGAGCAGACTCAACCCATGTCTCACCCGTGACGCCAGCTGCCGCCCTAACCACTTCGTGCAGAAGCGAGTGGGGTGGCAAGGTCAGCAGGCGTGCCAGAGCAGTGACGATGCGGAGGCCCACTTTGGCACTGAGTCGCCATTGGTAACCAAGCCACGTAAGCATCAGACTGTAGCCCCCGTCTCCCAGCGAGAGGTTAGCGATACCTAACAAGGCTTTCAAGGCTCTATAGTGCATCTGGTTAAGCCTACGAGCGACCACAGGCCACCCTTCTACACAAGCTGCCAGGAGTTCGCAGCCGAAAAGAGCCGCACTTTCGGCTCTGATGGGGAATTGTTCCGCGTGCCAGGCTATCCCTAAGCCTTGTGCTTCCAGGGCTCTGCCTAAGTGATGTCCTGCATCGTGGAGGCGCTGCCCCAAGGCCGACAGCCCTGCTTCAAGTGAGAGGCTCTTGTCCAGGGAGGTGCCCAGTACTTCTAACTGTTGGACAGGACGGATTTGCTCCCCGTCTAAGATTGGCAGTGTCAAAGTCTCGGGCCAGTCCTCCCCTACACACAGGAGGGACGCCGCCTTTTTCCCAGCAGCAAATCTATGATGCCAGAGGACTGCAAAGTTAGACAAAGCAGCACAAACCTTAAACAACCCCCAAGGCGTCGATTGAAAGACAAAAGCATCATCAACGAATTGCATCTGTAAAAAACTAAATTTTGCTGCAGCATCCAAGAGTAGAAGGGCTTCCTCTTTTGAAGCCTCAGGGGCTAGGGTTGCTCGAAGGGTGTCCTGCGGGGCCATGGGGTTGAAAGCCATGATTCCTCTGCGCAAGATTTCCCACCGCGGCTCACTTAGCCCGCTGGCTACGCGGTTGCTGCCCAAGACGCATCTAGTAACTGTGGCGTCGTGTCCTAAACCCACACCTACGTTAGAAGAGGCCACGGCTTGGGTCAGGCCTTTTGCAAAAGCTCCAAAGAGTTGCACTGTGCTTCTCCCGCCTTGTCGAATACCATGGTTCAGGATCACAAAGAAAGGCCCAAGAAGTGGCCCTAGCCTAACCCTCGCCACATCCGAAGACAAGGAAGCATCTAGAAGGAGCCACCCCCGACCCTGAACTCCAGCCAGCCAGGCGTGAACTCTAACGGCGTCTCTCCAGGCCAGATCATAGCCTTGGAGCAGGTCGGCCTTCATTAGCAGACTGGGGAGTCCGCTGTTCAGGCGCGAGCGTAGGGAGATCAGGAACCCGATGCTTACTAGCACGGGGTCGGTCTGACCACCCACCTGCTCCGACCCTGCGTAGTCAATCAAGAGTTGCTTATGCAGGTGCAGCCAAACCATGTCGAAGGCCCCTTCAAGGTCTGAGACGTAACAAATCGGGCGCAAGCACTCTTGCTTGGTCACCACCTCGGGGCCCCTTTTCCTGATGGGTGAAATAACCCTAAACCAGGAGGACGGAACCAGGCCGATGAAGAAGATTAGGTTGATGATGGCCCAAGTTAGGGCTCGCCCCGCTTCCGATCCTGCCACAACTGCTTTCCTTGGGAGTTGGGCTGACGCCTTCATCGTTTGCATCGACTTGAGGAGTTTAATGAAAACCCGAAAACAAATAAAAATGGGAGGGGCGGACAATGAGGAAGCCAGTGCGGTGGTTCTGGCCTGTGCTACCATGGACTGAATGCAAGCGTCGAAGGCAGGAACCCCTTCATGGCCGGCGTGTCCTCTGGCGATTACATCGTCGGCAATCGCTGCCAGGGTTTCGAAATCTGAGAGTGGCCTTCCGGTTCCCTTTTCGCACAACTTTGTCTGCAGCTGTTCTTTTGGTTTCAGGAGGCGCGAAAGGTACGCCTGCGCTTCCTGCTGATTTGAGGCGGAAAGCTTGGTAAATCTAGCAACCTTCTCTTCGTGCAGGCTAGATTTGAGTCTGGCGAGCAGATCTTCAGCCGCTTCGGAGCCTCCTTCTTCCTCCAAATCTGCTGCCATAAAAGGCCAAAGTTCTTGCGCCAAGTCCTTTGGTTGCCTAGTTCCCTGAAGCCAAACCAGGCCCTTGAAGTGTCCTGCTAAAGTTAGCAGCACGGACCGCCACCAGACAACTCTGTCCAGCAGGTTTAGACGCGCCCTCTTAAACTTACCTTGGCTTACCCAATCTCTTAAGCTAGTGTCACCCAGGGCGCAGGCTGCCCAGGCAGAAGCAAAGGAGAGGGAGCTCTTGACAGCATCTGTAGCTTCGTCCCACGCGGCGCCCAAACCCCACCGGGCAACCCCTACATGCTGGGACTGTAAGAGGGGGATAGATGCGGATCGGCATCTGCACACCACGAAGGCGTGGTCACTTCGCAGCTCATCCTCTTGCAGCCAGGTTACTTCAAGGTCCATGCTCAGGCTTTCTTGAGCGGCGACCAGATCAATCACTGATCCAGACGCATGGGTTGCAACCGAGGGGAGATTCCTAATGGTTGTGTGAAAGGCGGCTGGGCTTTCAAAGAGGGACAGAATTTGCCTGTCAAGAGGCCTGGCCATCCTTTGGTTAGTGGGTCCTAAAAACGGGAAATGCAAATTGGTATCTCCAAGAATCGTCAGCGGGCAGTCTTTGTATCGCTCTAAGCAACGGATGCTGTGGTATTCCCTGAGGCGTTTATACCAAAATTCTTGTCTGAACTGGTTGGGATGCCCTGTGTGGGGACCATACACAGCAAGCAGGAGCACCATTGGCTGGCCCTCTACTGCAACCCAGGAAGCGCACTCATCACCATAGTCACTCAAAACTGAAACGGCGTGAGCGACTGCCTCGTGCACAAGAACCGCCACTGATGCCGGATCATGAGTGTGCAGTCCAAAAAACTTAAACCCCGTGCAGCTAGGCCAAGATGCGTGCTCCCCGAGCTTGGGTTCAGCCACCACTGCGATTGTCACTTCTGCGTGCAACAATTGTGCCGCAAAATGTAGCATCCTGTCAACGTTCCTTGCTTCATTGGCCGAGCGGCCAAAGGCACCTTGGGCGTTCCAAGCTGCAAAGGCTTGGGCGCAGCTGCCACCGGGCCTGGCGTTCTCGACCGCCGCGGCTTCGTGACCTCCTTCCCACGGACCCGCCAAGCTATGGAGCGGAAGTCCTCTAGATTTCTGCTCCGTGCGGCGCACAACGTCTTTCAAGCAATCTGTTAGCACTTTATCAAAGGATCTGAAAAGTTGCAAACTTGGTGGCACTTGGGAGATGCCAAATGCAGGCCTGCACGCTTGCAGCGCCCAGACATCCCTTCTCAGGGCCAAGTGCAGCAGTTTACTAATCTTGGGCGGTTTAGGGGGGAGTCCAGCTTGAATCAGGTGAGCAAGCTCGCCGCGTGCCTCAGCGACTGATTCCTCTCGACACAACACTCTAAGCTGCGCCAGCAAATGGGTGTCCTCGTCGTCCATTGGTCGACACTCAGGGGCGACACTGGCTTTTAAGAGAATAACTTGAAGAAGCGCAGCCGCAGGCACAAAAGTGGCCCCATGCCAAGGTTCGATTGAGGCGCACTCAACTCAACAGGAAATACACACACAACACAACACAACACAACGCAACGCAACACAACGCAACACAACACAACACAACACAGCACAGCACAGCACAGCACAGCACAGCACAGCACAGCACAGCACAGAACAACACAACACAACACAACACAACACAACACAGCAACACAACACAACACAACACAACACAACACAACACCACACAACACAACACAACACCACACAACACAACACAACACAACACAACACAACACAACACAACACACACACACACACACAGACAGAGACCACAGCGCACGCGCGCGCGCACAAGAGAACGCCCGCAAGAGCAAGCGCACAAACGCCCGCGCGCACACAAAGACAAACACACACCACCAAGGAACGCGCACACCCACACACACACCAAAAAAAGAAAAACACGCAAAGCAAGAGAGAGAGGGGAGAAAAAAAAAAACACACACACACACACACACACAACCAAATTTCGCTCACAGCCTCAGATACCCCGCAGTGAATTAACTCCAAGCAACCTGCGAAGTAAGCAACGCAGGAAAAACGGAGGAGCGCATACAAAGCACAGTTTTGAAAAACGGGGTTACGCTCCGGAAGCCCCGAAAAACTGTGACACGTCGAATTTTTGCACCGCCCCAGCTAAGATTTGGACATCAGCATGGGGGCCAAAGTGCATAACCATGCTTGGTGCTTCTTCTGTTAGGATCGTCTTTGCGCCCAGCACCAAAAGTTCTTTGGATGCAACTTTGACTTGGAGGCTCAGTTTCTTGACCTTTGCGCCAGAGGCTATCTGGAGTCTGAGGACAAACTTTCGGGCATCACCTCCTGCGGTGGCGTACGATTGAGGTCCCACTGGTTTCTTCCAACTCCCATGCCTACGAATCTCGAGAGGCTCAACCGGGATCTTCGGCCCCGTCTCGCCCTTCCAAAATTCGACCCTTTCAGCGACCTCAATAGGGTCAACCGGTCGTCTAAAGGAGATCTGGATCGTCCTTGCACCCGTTGACGTGTCCACAGCTTTGATAGCTTGTCTCAGGTCATGAATGGCAGCTCTGGCCTGTTCCGTCTGTTTGGAAGTGAATGCCAACATGAGCTTGTCCACCGCCCCCGGGCCTGCCTGAGGAGAAACTTTGCAAAGTGGCAACGTGGAGTCACTGGGAGCCCCCAGGGCTGCCAAAGCTTCACGCGTGGCTTCTTCGTCAGAGATGTCCTGGCCCTTGAAAAGTCTGATCAAGGAGATGATGCCCTTTCGCATTGAGTCGGGGTTGTCATGTGGCAGCGGCTCATCTAGGGAGGCGCTTGGCTGCTGATGTTGGAGTTCCTTTGTGGGAGAAGACAACGGCGAAGTGGAACTAGTCGACCCCTGCCGCGTTCTAGATCTTGAACGGCTCCGCTCAAGGTCCGGGCTCGGGATGGTGAGCTTTTTTGCGTGGAGCTCACAACTACTACCATACCTCTCCTTTTGAGCGTTGTCGTGTTCCAGGAAGTTTAGGAAGTTCTCAAATGCAGCCCTCACCTTGGGGAAGGTTACAGCATCCAT